AGGTGGAAGATGTCAAGCGAGTTCATACAGCACAAACGCCAGGTTGACTATAGGGTTTGGCAGCTTCCTTCGCTGATCTCAAGCTTTCAACAAGCGAAGATTAGATTTCCTGCAGAGAACTATTCTCTAATGCAATCAATCTCTTACCAATTTACCGTAACTTATTCATATATTTAATATTTTTGAAATTAATCATTCGATTCTTACGCTCTTAAAAATTATATTGACATCTCTGTTAAAAAGATAATTTTATAAGATTAAAATTAAAAAAAAATATTAAAGATTTTAATATAATTTTTAAAAATATAAAGTTCGAAATATTAAGAATAACTAATTATAAAAAAAAATTATAATTAATACTGTGATCCATCGATTATGTATTGGTTAATCATATGTCAGATCGTAGGTAAATAATATGATGTATTCATATGTCAGAACAACAAGTTTCTCATGCATTGCTCATCCCAACCCCTTTTTGCTTTGGGCCACAACGCATCATGGGGTTGAAATGGAGATGCCACCTTCATTCATGTGGGGCCCAATGTTTTGGGATTCCCATCCCTTCCCCTTCCCTTTTTATCGGATGTATGTTCAAAGTACCACCGCTCAGCTGTCACAAAGAAAAATATGGCCGCCACAAAGGCCCTCCTAATTGGCTTATATTTACACGAAACGCCACTACAAAGCCATCCTGACTTGGACCGTCCCCGTGCCTCCAAGTGGGGCCCTCCTGGGCTCCATTTAATGCAAACTCGAGAAGATTAATCTAATATTAGATTGACTAATGTGGGCGTGTGATGTACGCCACGGAGCGACAACAACTCGTGGGGAGGGGGGGCTCATAAAGAAACCCCAACGGTACATGCATGCACCATGCACGTGAGGTAACAGTAGGAGACGGCGACCTTGGACACTGCCTCACGTCTCTTCTTGACGTGGCGAATGCCAACAATAGGAACATGCAACCGTGTTTGATGCAACGATCACAGCACGAATCAAGTCGGCACTAAGGCACAGCATCATCCGCTGTTCCACCGAGAGAGATGGATGATGAACGGGGCATGATGTGGATCTGACCCTGCAACAGCAAACACTGCTGTAATTAGTCCGCCATTGAGCGACCTAGACGTGGCCCGGCCTGACGCGACGGAGACGGAGAGAGATGGAGGACCACCGGGACCAGATTGGCGCAGGGCATTAATTGGATTCAGGACCACTGGAATCCACGACCAGTCCAAATTCGACATTGATAGGGATCCATAATGGTTGGACTCACCTCCCCGCCATCTTAATAATTGGGTTCAGAATGGACCAGTACGAAGGGCTCGTCGTTGGCATTCCCACAGGCATTCTACTCGACGTTATAATCCAATTCGTCATTGTAAAGGTGTTTTTCCTGCGGGGAATCTGATATCTGAGTTTTAAGGATAGATAGTTGCAACATCAATCACACGATTAATTTGAATGGATCAGAGATACTATATGACTGGATTTAAACATAAGATTTTTTGCTTTGGTACCTAATATAATTAGCCAACACCTAATCACCCTTCGAGTGATAAGATGTCTCTTACACTAAATGCCAACTTAGTCAATCATTACCCATCATTCTCCGAATTCGACATTATATTTATGTTTCAAGGAAGCGTGTAACTAACCTACAACTTCTAAATACAATAGTCCTATACCACACTATAAAAGATCTCACTTTAAAGGTCTTTGGTGCATTTGGTTTTATGCAAAGTTGATGTTTAGTCAAACCCTCTAAACTAAAATTAACTTAAGAATCGAATAAATTTTACTAGGTATGCCTCCACTTCAATTTGAGATAAACATGAACCAAATGGGCGTTCATGTGGAGCAAGCACCACATTATGGTTTAAGTAAATGTCATTCATATCACACATCATTCGAAACCATCTACTGGCAAACTAGCTCGGCTCATTTTGCAATATCTGTTCATAGGCTTGTGGACTTTGATGAATTGATGAAGCCCAAGAACTGACTTTAGGTTTCTTTGAAACATGATCTAACTCTTAATGAATCTATGTAAATATTTTAGAACATGCAGGTGTTAAGGGCCTTTAGCATAATATATCACATATAACACTCCAGTTTTAATTATCCGCGAGTTGTATTTTCTAAAATAAATAATTATTTCTATTACATTTAGACTGTGCATAATTCAAATTCCAGCACTATCAAGCAATAATATAGCAATAATATAACAATACGTAAATTATTTTCAATGAAAGGAGTTTAGCAATCAAAACTTTTCCTGTATGTCATTATATATATATATATATATATATACATATATATATTGGTGTATTTGTCACTAGAACAAG